TGATAATATAATTGGTAAATATATTTCTTTAATTATTTTGTTTGATATATTTAAAAAGTTATTAACAATATTTAATTTGTGTAGTTGAAAAAGATGAAGAAAATCAAACTTAAAAATGGAATACAATTTTAAATAAACTGCAGTCAGACCCCTCTATAGTCATACCTATATAGTCACAAAATAAAAAATCTCTATAATTGTCACATCTCTATATAGTCACAGTTTTTTATATCCCGAAGGTGTGACTATAGAGGGATCTGACTGTATATTATTTGATTTTGCTATTATTATATATTATTTATTATTTATTATTATTTTATTTATTCATTTATTTTATTATCATATTTTTTTTTATCATGTATTATTTTACTGTATTTTATCACTGGAATTATAGAGTATAGCTTTTGTTTAAATTAAAACAGATGTAATCATTTAAAATAAGTCATTATTTTGATCTAAATTACAAAAACTTTTTTATTCGGATTCCTCTAAGAAAGAGCTATCATTTGATACATTTTTTTTTAAATTGAATGTCAATGCAAATAAAATCGCAAAAAATAATAATTTTAAACTTTGATTGTTACCAATACTGAACTCAATGGTTATTAGAGATAGACTTATATTGAATTGTAGCGGTAGCAAGAAATAATATCTACAACTTTAATTTTTTTCAATAGCTAAAAAAATCATTTAATATATTCAACCTTTTAAAAATACGAACAATAAATTTTAAGCAACTTTGAAGTCTTTATATGCTCATCTATGTATAATAAGACCATTGAATTCAGGGAGAAAATATAAATAAAACTCTTGAACTGTCGTATATTATAGGATAGGGCGGAACGACTGTCGAAAATACATATATAAATATTACGAAGGTAAGTTCAATATTTCAAAAATAATTATAATATCCATAAATATGATAATGTTTTTATAATTATTATTAATCTAAGTTGCGTTGTTTCGTAGTTGCTGAGTTTAAGGATCATAGTTAAAATTCACAATGGGATGTAATTACCACGACTCTTTGGGATATTATGATTAAACCATAATCTACTGGTCCTGACCAGACGTACAAACTAGATATTCAAACTTAATTCATAATATAATTACCCATGATTTGTTCAATTATACTTTATTTTATTTTTTTAAATGGATGAAATGACTTTTCTTGCACCCAAAGTTAGATTTGGATCCCAATTCAATTCCAGAATGGATAATTCTAGCAATCCACCTAAATCCAAATGTAATGCCATTCATCGTAAATTAAAGGAAAACTTATTTATAATATCATGATAGAAGAATCCAAACCAGAGTTTCATCTGTTAAAATATTTTCGTCATCATAACTCTGCAAACCGTGGAAAATCTCTTCAGTAAATTATTGATAAAGCAAGGAGGATTGATGTCGATGAATTATTATAAGTTCTGTTAGATAATTCTATAATTATCATAATAATAATAATTAATTTGTTAATTTAAAAAGGCTCTTGGAACTAGATTTGAGCAGGATTATTTATCTGTTGAAAGAGAAGAAAGCGAGTAGGTTACTGATTAAATTATTTGCTTAAATTTAAAATTCGATTTATTAAAATTCTGTTTATTTAAAATTATTTATTTTATTTTTCTAGAATCCATTGATAAATACTACAAAATTTATACAATATTAGTCTAGATCCAATTCAAATTCAAATAAATTCAAAATTCATCTCAAATAAGAAAACTACGAATCATCTTACTCAGCAGCATCAATATTCACAGTAAATTCAACTTTAACATTATCACAAATGTTTTCGACAAAGTCACAAGCAATGATGGGACCATTCCAAATAACAATAATAATATATTCCAATGCAAATAATCAATAGAATTCCAAATATTTCACGACAAATGATTAATTAAGATCAAAATTCTATTCAATTCAACATAGTAATCAATTTAGTTCAAAATTCTTGGGTAAGGTTAATCAAATTGAGAATTATTGCAAGGAAAATTACTCAGAACTCCTGTAATGTCTGTGAATAACGCGAATAATAAATATGAGCAGTCAAGAGCTATGAATTCTGTAGAATTCCTATAATGTTAAATTATTGAGAAACAATGTCTCGAAACTATTTGATGAATTTACTTCACCATATTATATATAACAAGACAGAACGACTGTCAAAAAAAAATATAAATTTTACGAAGGTAAGTTTTGATATTATAAAAATAATTTTGGAGTTTTTTTTTTGTGAAATTCAGCAAGTTGATTTAATCCCATAAATGTAATAATGTTGTTGTATTTGTTATTAATATAGGTTACATGGTTTTGTAATTGCTGAGTTTAAGGATCATAGTCTAGTTTCACAGCACGAAAACGTGATGATTTTTGGGTGTTAAGATTAAACCATAGTTTGACTGGACGTGTGAACGAGAGGCTAAATTACTCGTTAGATTATGTTATTCGAACTTAATTTATGGATTCTATTAATATTATTACCTATGATTTTTTTTAATCATATTTTATTTTTTTTAAATGGATGAAAAGGTTTTGTTGCACCCAAAGTTAGATTTAATTCCAATTCATCAGAATGGATAATTCATGAATGTTAATTTAATACCCACTCATCATAAATTAAAGGACTTAATTCCTCTGGGTTTGGAGTTAGAGAAAGTTAAGCGAGTGAAACATGAAGAAATGATGTATTATTTTGGATGAGGTATTTTTTAATGTTCTTATCTTTTATAAATATTAAATTTATTATTTTATTGATTTATTATTTTATTATTATTTATTAATATATTATTTAATTAATTTATATTAATTTATTAATTTATATTAATTTATTACTTTATTAATTTATTAATTATTGATTTATTAATTTATTAATTTATCGATTTATTTTATTAATTTATTTATTAATTTATTAATTTATATTAATTTTATTTTTGATTTATTATTTTATTATTATTTTATTAATTTTTAATTTTTATTAAATTGTTATTTTATTTATTTTTTATTAATTTATTATTTTATTTTATTATAATAGAAGAATATAAGCCAGTGTTTCGTTTGTTAAAATGTTTTCCTCATCATAACTCTGCAAATTGTGGAGCATTTCTTCAGCCAGTTATTGATAAAGTAAGGAGGATTGATGTGGATGAAAATATTCTATAAATTATAGTAATAATAATTAATATGTTATTAATTTGAAAAAGGACGCTTAGCGATAAAGAAGGCTCTTGGAATCAGATTCGGGCTTGATTGTTTATCTGTTGAAAGAGAAAGAGAGTAGGTTATTAATTAATTTATTTACTTTAATTTGATTTATTTAAATTCAATTTATTTAAAATTATTATTTTATTTTTTTAGGATTATTGATAAATACTACAAAATTTAACATTTGTTGATATACATATCCAATTTAAATTCAAATAACATCAGAAATAATTATTATCTCATACTGAAACTTCGTATGATAGTCGACACTTAATAATTAATTATCTCAGATGATTCTTAATGCTTCTTATTTGACTCAGCCGCAACAATATTTACAATGAGTCCAATCTCTCCATTATTAACAAGGAATTCGAAAGCAACAACAATAATGTAATGACAATGACAAGAAATACACCAATCTGCTGCTTCTAAACAATTAAATACTGAATTATTCCACCACAAATGGCTAAAAATTTTCCAATCAAGTCAAAGACAAATGGGTAATCATGTTCCAAATAATGATGATAATGATGATGATGGTGATAATAATGATAATACTCCAATGCAACTAATAAATATAATTCCAAATGATTGTGTAAACATTTCACGACAAATGATTAATGACCAATTTAGTTCAAAATTCTGATGTAATGGTTAATCAAATTTCAGAGAATATCCAAAGCAAATTATCAAAGCTCCCTATAATCTCTGACTCTTACGCAATCCAATTAAAGTGATTTGATTCAATAGTAAATCAAGTCCAATACAATGGTGACAATGATAGTACAAATATGCCAGTTCAAATGGCATCTTTCTTATAATAATTTTTTTTAAAAAAAATGAACTTCATATTATATATATACATATATAATAGTTGTTTATATTTTATATTTTTGGGAGATTTTTTTTATTTCATTTTAACTTTAAAATATAAAAAAGTATGTAGCATCCAAATATTTAGTGATTCTTTAGAATCGGTATTATTATAAATGTTTTTGAATTTTCTTTTCCTCCGTGGAATCAATAGTTGATTCATTGGACTTTAATAATCAATTAGGATATATAAATTTAAAGAATTTGTAATTAATCATTTATTAAAATAAAATTATCATATTCTAAGAATATACCTGAAGATTTTTAGATTTTATTTCATCCAATAAATCATGCAATCCATGAAGAGTTTTGATATATCGAATACTATAACTTGACTGAGGATGCAACTTACTTGAATGTGAAAATAATTTGAATAATTCTTGCATTTGAGATTTTGACATATTTTTTTTGATTTTTATCAGCAATTTTAAGTTGTCGCATAATATTATTATCCACTATATTATCACCAAGTTTTTCTAATATATCAAAAAATAAAATAGCTAATCTATCAGCAGTTGGACGTTCAGAAAAATCATCACTCCAACATCGATACATCAAGTCTAAATACCATTCTGGAATCCAATTTAACATAAAATCAGGAACCCTTGGTCTTACGCCATTACATATATCAATTATCAAATAAGTATCATATGCTTGGTCAGCAAATGGTCATTGTGCAGCAACAATTTCATAAATAATTCCACCAAAACTATAAATTTCACCCTTCCTTGTAAATTCATTTCCTCTTAACACCTCAGGTGGAATATATGGAATTGATCCAGATATTTGGTTATTTTTGTTATTAGCATTTGAAATCGAATCATTTTCTAATTTACATAAACTTAAATCTATTACTAATTCCAATTTAAAGTAGTCACTATCAAAATATTTCCACTATGAAGGTCACAATTAACTAAATTTTTTTCATGTGAGCACCTGAGACAATTTGCTATATAATATGTCTATTTTTGATTGCCATTCTAAATCCCAAAATTCTTTTGTTAAAAAATTATGTTAGTCATCATCAAATAAATTTTAACAATAATGTAGTTTTGCGTAGAGAAATTAATTGAAATTCCATAATATTTAACATAGAAATAACTATAATAAGCAGTCGTTACCTTAACATAAAAAATATTGAAAGGCAAATTAATAAATTACGAAATATTGATAACAGTACATAATAACTTCTATTCTAAATACAAAGAAACATACCACTTTAAGAAATTCAACTAAATCAAATCTAGAATCTTTTACTTCTTTCAAAGCAATTTTGAATCTTATTAAATCATATGTCCAATCCTGTTTGATAAAATTCCATTTCCATTTTATTCCATGTTCTATTTTGGTGGAATACACAGATCCATGTTGACCATCTGCTATGTGTTCGATATTTTGAAAATTATCATAAGGTATCCATTGTATCTTATCGTAAATGTTATTTATTTGAGATTCTTGTATAATCTTATCAGTGTTAGCATTCCCACTGGACCAAGTTTTAAATTCTTGAATAAAATGTTCTTTAGTATACAAATAACATTCTCCATCCGAATGAATAAAATTTCGGTAATCAGAATAAAGCAAAATCCTTAGAAGAATGGCCTGCCGGACAATACATTATTTTATTTATTTCTTGTATTTCTTGAGACACGGGAAATAAAGAAATAAAAGGATATTCGTTATAGATGTTTTATTCCAAATTTATATTATTTATTGTTTGATGACAATCGTTGCCTTTTCTGATTATACTTAATTTGTGCCAATTTCAAATATTTTTTTTAAAACTTCAAGTAAATGGAAAAAATAGGAAAATATCAATAAATACAGTACAACTCGGAAGAAAGAAATACTAATATTTTAGTGAGAAATCTATTGGAATATATGATTTATTATAAAGATATAAAATTCTGCATTATTTTATACCAACGAAATCTTTGCGAATGCTATCATATCCCCGCTTTTATCAATAACCATGTCTTTTCAAGTTTATTATACAAATCAGGGCAAGGCATAAGTTGCTATGATAAATATAATAAAGATCTCTTTCTTGGAGAGAAAGCATGAATTTTTGTGATAACACAATAAATAAATACTTTATATCAACCATTTATTTATTTTATTTATGTGCTAGATAAAAACAAACCAAAATTAGAACATCTTTCCTTAAAGGTACTTATCTTATTTTATCATCTTCTTGTCTTTTTGGAAGGCTCGCATTCTTTTAACAATATATTTTAACACAAATATTCATCATTCCTCTCAAGCATTATTGACCTAATTTAAAAAAAAATAATAAAAAAAAAAGCCATGTAAAAAATAAATTTGTTTCTCGTAATATAATGTTATGTTATGAAAGACATTAATTAATATATGATAGAAGAAATTGTATTTTATTAATCTTTAAGCATAATTCATAGCAAAGTAATTTTTATGAGCATTAAATAAAACAATTTTCAAAAAAAAAATAAACTAATAAATTATCTTTAAATGAACTAATTTAAAAAATTAACTTAAATAAAAATTGTATTATCCAATGATAATATGATAAGATATATTTTTTTTTCCGTATACACTCAACAACCTTTAAAAAAAATTGGACAACAAGACCTTTGATTTGAATTCAGAAAGTAGAAACAAATCTTTTGAAATGTCATATACGGAACGACTGTGAATTTTACGGATTTAAGTTTCAATATTATAAAAATAGTTATAATTTATAAATATAATAATGTTGTTATAATTATTATTATTCTAGGTTGCGTAGTTTTGTAGTTGCCAAGTTTAAGGATCATAGACCACGATGAAGGGAAGGGCAATTGCCACAAAAAATGTAGACCATCTTTGGGATGTTAAATTACTTGTAAGATTATTATTATTCGAACTTAATTTACGGATTCTATTTATATTGCCTATGATTTTTTTAATTTTTTTAAAAAAAATGAATGAAAGGTTTTATTGCACCCAAATTTAGATTTAAATACCCAATTCAATTACAGAATGAATAATTCTAGCAACCCAACTAGTCCTAATGTAATGCCCCTTATCGTAAATTAAAAGAAAACTTAATTCATCTGAGTTGAAACGAGCGAAACATGAACAAATTATGTTCACGTTGGATGAGGTATTTCAATATTCCTATCTTTTATATAAATATTTCAATTATTTGAAATTTATTAATTTATTAATTTATTATGATGTTAAAACCAGAATTTCATCCGTTTAAATATTTTCATCATCATACTCTACAATTGTAGAATATATAAAGGAAAGAGAATTGATGTTGATTAAACTAGTAGTTTCAATTAAAATATTCTATGAATTACCGTAATAATTAATCTATGTTATTTAACTTAAAAAAAGAATGCTTGGCGATAAAGAAGAGAAGGGAGAAAGTAAGTTATTAATTAAATAATTATTTAAACCAGGTTTAAATAAAATACTATGTGCACGCGAAAAAAATTTAAGATAGGTTTCCTTTAATAAGAAATGAGCTCCAGATAGAAATATAATTAAGAAATTAACTCCTAGGTGTATTTTAAATTTTTTATAACATATATATAAAAATATATGTAATTTTATTCTTTTATCCAAATCAATGTTCTTTAAATTCTTTGGGATTCATAACCAATCCAAGATTGAAATATTAGAGTATGACATCTGTTTTCTCATTTACATCATGATTATTGATACTTGAAGATGATTCATCAGACTTTATTAATAAATTAGGATCTATAAATTTAAAATTAAAAATTTGTAATTGATCATTTATTAAAATAAATTAATTGAAATTATTTTAAAAATATACCTGATGAATTTCCAGATTTTATTTATTCCAATAAATCATGCAATCCATGAAGAGTATGAATATATCGGCCAATATAACACGATTGTGGATGCAACTTATTTGAATGTGAAAATAATTCTTGCTTTTGAGATTCTCATATATTTTTTTGATTTTCTTCAGCAATTTTAATTTGTTTCATAACATCATTATCTACTAGATTAGCCCTAAGTTTAGCCGATATTTCATTAAATAAATCAACTAATTCAAAGGCAGTTGGAAGTTCAGAAGGATCATCGCTCCAACAACGATACATCAAGTTTAAATACCATTCTGGAATCCAATTTAACATAAAATCAGGGACCTTAGGTCTATTACATATATCTATCATCAAATAAGTATCATGCGCTTGGTCAGAAAATGGTCGTTGTGCAGTAACTATTTCATACATAATTCCACCAAAACTATAAATATCACCCTCGATTGTAAATTTATTTCCTCTTAATACCTCAGGTGGAATATATGTAATTGATCCATAAGTTTCGTTGTTTTTTTGATCAGTATTTAAAAATTTAAATCATTTTTAATTTACATGAATCTAAATCCATAGAAAATCCAACGGCAACAGAATTATAGTAATGCCAAAATATTTCTACTAATGAAAGTTACAATGAACTAAATTTTTTACATGTAAGCTTCCAAGATCACGAATTGTTGCCCACAATATGTATATTTTTAATTCCCACTTTAAATCTAAATAATTCCTGTTTAAAAAACCATGTAAGTCATCACTAAATAAATCCTTGACAAAAATGCAGTTTTGTGCAGAAGGATTTTTTGAAATTCCATAATAAAAGCAATATCTTCTATTTTTCTTAATTTAAAATATTATAAGACAAATTAATAAATTATAAATATTAATAACAATTGATAATAACTTATATTCTAAATATAAAGAGTTATATAACTTTAAGAAATTCAACTATATCATATCTAGAATCTTTTATTTCTTTTAAAGCAATGTTGTGGAGTATTAAATCATTTCTCAAATCATATTTACAAAAATTTGAATCCCCTTTTTATGCCATTCTTTAATTTGGCAGAGTACACAGAGCCATGCCCACCATCAGCTATATGTTTGAATTCTTTAAAATTATCATAATGTATCCATTGTAGATAATGTCTTATATTTCGAGATTCTTCAATAATCTTATCAATGTTATCATTTCCGCTAGACCAGGTTCTAAATAATCGAAAGGAATGTTCTTTAATGCACAAAGAACAAATTTCGATTGATTGAAACGATATTACTGTAAAATACGAAAAGAATGATCAGCTGGATACCTTCTTCGAAACATGGAAAATATGGTAAATATAATTTTGAACAGTTATTTATTGTGCCACATAAATAATTTATAAATAGTTAATAATTGAGACTACGGAAATTCCAAAATATACAAAATATACCTAATATCCATAAATTACGCAATATTGTCGCAAATCATAATAAAATGATAAATCAAGTAAATCAAAGTTGCGAATCAACATTCAAAATCCATAAAAAATAAATTAGAAAATAATTTATTAATATAAAAAAATAGAAACAAGCTAATAAAATATAAAAATGTGTAAACATATATAAATATGTAGTAGCAAAAAATTTTGATGAGGTTGTAATTGACCTTTAAGAAAGGTTTGTTAAACTAGAGGTTTAAAATCTAAAACTTCGAAGCTGAATCTGCTTACCTTGAAGGTACCTTTCTTATGTTCCCTCCTTCTTTTTGTCTTCTTATAGTGTAATAAACACAAGCGAAGACACCTCACATTGACAATTTAATTTTCTCTTTTTAAACACAAATATTCATTTTCCTTCAAGAAATATAAGTTCAAACACCTAATTACCAAAAAAATGACAATTACAAAAGCTATGCAAAAATAAATAAAATTGATGCTCTATAATAACTACATTTAAAGTATGCCACGCTAAATTCGAGTCTTAATAATATAATATGCGCACGTGAAAATTGTTTTAAGATAAATAAATATATTTGAGAAAATTAATTTCTACGATGAAAATTTTTTTTTAATTTCTTTGTAACATATAAAATATAAAGACAAACGTAATTCTATTTTCTTTATCCAAATTAATGCATTCTTTAAATTCTTTGGAAATAAAAACCAATCAATGACACTTTTGCTTGCTTTGAATTTCTGCTTCCTCATCAATATTATGATCATTGACACTTGAAGTAGATGATTTATTAGACTTTAATAATAAATTAGGATCTAAAAATTTAAAAAATTCAAAAAATTTAATTTATTTGTAATTGATCATTTATTAAAATAAATTAATTGAAATTTACCTGACGATTTTCCAGATTTTATTTCTACCAATAAATCATTTAATCCATGAAGAGTATGAATATATCGACCAATATAACATGATTGTGGATGTAACTTACTTGAATGCGAAGATAATTCAAATAATTCTTGCTTTCGAGATTTCGATGTATTTTTTTGATTTTCATCAGCAATTTCAAGTTGATGCATAACATTATTATCCACTATATTACTAAAAAGTTTTCCTGATATGTCAAAAAATAAATCAACTAATTCAGTAGAAGTTGGACGTCCGGAAGGATCATCATTCCAACATCGATACATCAAGTCTAAATACCATTCTGGAATCCAATTTAACATAAAATCAGGAACCTTTGGTCTTACACCATTACATATATCTATTATCAAATAAGTATCATGTGCTTGGTCAGCAAATGGTCGTTGTGCAGTAACCATTTCATACATAATTCCACCAAAACTATAAATATCACCCTTCCAAGTAAATTCATTTCCTCTTAAAACCTCAGGTGGAATATTTGGAATTGATCCATAAATTTTTTTATTTTTGTTATTAGCATTTAAAATTAAATCATTTTCTAATCTACCTAAATCATAATCTATAACTGACATATTACTATATTTGGTGAATTTTAAAATGTTTCCACTATGAAGGTTACAATGAACTAAATTTTTTGCACGTAAGCTTTCAAGACCTGATACTATTGAGGCTAATATATCTATTTTTGTTTTCCAACTTAAATCCCAAAAATTTTCGGTTAAAAAATTATGTAAGTCACCATCAAATGATTCCATAACAATAATGTAGTTTTGTGTTGAAAGATTTTTTGAAATTCCATAATATGTAGCAATATATTCATAATCATAATCATGAATAGCCTTTATCTAAATATGAAAAATATTGAAAGAAAGATTAATAATTTACGAAATATTAACAACAGTTCATAATAACTTATAATTTAAATATAAAGAAACATACAACTTTAAAAAATTCAACCATATCAAATCTAGAATCATTTATTTCTTTCAAAACAACATTGATGCCTATTAAATTATACTCCCAATCCTGATTGATAAAATTCCAATCCTCTTTTATTCCATTTTCTAATTTGGCAGAATACACAGATCCATGGCCACCATCTGCTAAGTATTTAATATTTTGAAATTTATTATAAGGTATCCATTGTAACTTATCACAAATATTATTAATTTGAGATTCTTGTATAATCTCGTCAAGGATAGCGTTTCCACTAGACCAAGTTTTAAATTCTCGGATAAAATATTCTTTGGTACACAAAGAACATCTTCCGTACCCAATGAAATTTTTGCAATCAGAATAAGCGAAATCGACAGAAGAATGACCTGCCGGACAATAGTCAATTTTTTCTATTTCTTGAGACATGGTTGTTATTGAATTTTTTTTTTTTTTTTTTCATTAACATAAATATATAAAATTATTTCGCAGTTTTTCTTTTCCTTTTGGGGAAAATAATTAATTTTTGCCTTTTTGGGGAAAAGATTACCATGTGGGTAAAATTTGTATTACCCTAAAAATAATTAGATTTTGTTTTAGCTTAGCTTTTTATTTTCCTCATTTATATTAGAAGACCATTGAATTCAGAGTTCTAACAAAGTAGAAAGTAGAATAAAATAAACAAAAACAACCGAAATTCGTATTCTTTTATCATATTTTATATGATAGGACGGAACGACTGTCGAAAAAATATAAATTTTACGAAGGTAAGTTTCAATATTATAAAAATAATTATTATATCCATAAATGTAATAGTGTTGTTATAATTAGGTTGCGTCGTTTCTTAAAGGCGAGCATTTTTGCGAGGCCTTCGTAGAAAAGCAGTGAAGGATTGTAAAAAGCTGTGTGACAGAGTTGTAGTTGCTGAGTTTAAGGAAATCCACCTGATGGTTTGGATGCTAAGATTAAACCATAGTCAACTGATTCTGACTGGACAGACTAAATTATTTGTAAGATCATTATTATTCGAATTTAATTTACTTTTTCTATAAATATTACCTATGATTTTTTTTTAATAAAATGTTATTCTTTTGAATGAAAAGAGCTTGTCGCACCAAAATTAGATTTGAATCCCAATTCAATTCTAAAGGATAATTCTAATGTCCATTAATCGTAAATTAAAGGAAAATTTAATTCCTCTGAGTTGGAATGAGAAAGTTAAACGAGTGAAATATGAACAAATGATCATGTTGAATGAGGTATTTTTAATTTTCTTAACTTTTATAAATATTCAATTATTTAAATATTATTTTATTATTTTTATTAATTTATTAATTTATTATGATAAATGAATTCAAGCCAGAGTTTCGTTTGTTAAAATACTTTCATCATCATAACTCTGCAAATTGTAAAACATCTATTCAGCCAGTTATTGATAGAAGAGGGAGGATTGATGTCGATGAAATCTAGTAAGTTTAATTAAAATATTCGATAAATTATCGAAATAATTATTAATATGTGAGAGAGAAAGAGAGATAGTGTGTGTGTGTTATTAATTTAAAAAAGGCGCATAATTTTTATCTGTTGAAAGAGAACGGAGAGTTGTTTATTAATTAAATTACTTAAATTCGTTTTTTTTAAAATTCGATTTATTTAAAATTCGATTTATTTAAATTCTATTTATTTAAATTCTATTTATTTAAAATTTTTTTATTTTATTTTCTAGGATTTTTTAATAAATACTACAAATTTGTACATTAGTCAAAATATATCGTGATACAAATGATAAAATACAAACACCAAGATATCTAAATTTTATTCGAATGGTTGATTAGAGATATATTAGATAATACAAATGCATCGCGCAGGTAAGATATTAATATATTCATTTTTAATATTTTTAATACAAATAATACGAATGTTTAATATATTTATTTATTTTTATATCTTAAATATATAAGTCATATTATTTAAAGCTTTTAATGTTCTAAATGGCATGAATAATAAACTTCAACATGATAATAATTCATGAATTCATGGATGATTATATAAAAAATAAACTGAAATGGAAATCGCTATGGAAAGCAATAATTTCAAAGAATTTTCAACGTAAAATATGCCCTCTAAAAGTTATTCAATCTTATTTTAATTCAAATATAGTAATAATATTTAGTAAAAATTGATTCTATTTGGACCTCGTCGCAGCTAAAATAATTGAAATCCCAATCATTACCCAAGATGCATCAACCAACATTTCCTCCGCTCGGAAGAAACTCACGAATATCATCATAAGTCTCCTTATATCTTACATTGACACAAACTCCAATACAATATTAATCTAACTCAAAATCAAATATATCGACACATTTCTATGCAACCTAATAATAACCATAATAACCACCAAACTCAATATCAACAGTCTAATCAATCTCAACAACGACAGCAACAAATGACACAATATCCAATTTAAATACCAACATCATCACTATCTCATCCCAGAACTTCACATGATAGTCAACCACTCATTTCACAACGAATCACATTAATAACGAATACGACAGCAACAGTAAAGATAATGACAACATCAACAAATACACTGATCTGCTGCTTCTGCACATTTAAATACTGAAATTATTCCATCACAAATGGCTAATTATGTTTTCCAACCAAGTCGCTAGTAATGATGTGATTATTCAAAGACAAATGGGTAATCATGTTCCGAATGATGATGATGATGATAATAATAACAATAATAATAATAACAATAATAATAATAACAATAATGCTCCAATCCAAATGATCGTGTAAACATTTTACGACAAATGATTAGTTGTCAAAATTCAAAGATCGAACTTGTGACCAATTCAGTTCAAACTTCTGATGTAATGGTTAATCAAATTTAAAAAATATTCTGAAGCAATTACCAGAACTCCACTTGATCAATGATTTTCATGCGATAACTAATCAATTTAAATCAAGTCCGACAAAATGTTGGTGGTGTAAATATACCAGTTCAAATGACTCAAGCGTCATCAAATAGTGTAAATAATTGTAAATTATAGCGAAGTGGTCGATCGTTGAATTTGCGTACAAATTGATCCACGATATCAAATCAATCAACAATAACGAGCCACAATCCAATAATTATTATCATTTCATTTTGTTAATCAGAGTTAATATTCTTTCATTGTAGTTTTTTTTTTTAGTTTATTTTTTTATTTTATTTTTTTTAATTTGGTAGTTCTAATATGATCGATGATGAAAAAATCACATGAAAGCATTTATGCATTTAAATGTCCATCATTTAAGTATTTAAGGTTTAAATCTCAATAGAAACATTTAAATCTTTTAAAATATTAAATAAAATTTAAATATGAATAGTAAAATTTAGAAATTGTTTCCTTTTAATAACAATAATTTTTGATGTATTTTATAGATCTATCTGTCTGTAAAGTTTGGAAACTCAATATTTGATAATGAAATAGGATATTAATAAGAAATATAAAGTAAAGGGGTTAAAATCTTTGAATTTGAAGATCCATTTGAAGTTGATCTTATTAATATGTAATGTTGTGTTGAAAGTAAACTAAGACTTAATTAGTGATTGTCTAGACATATCATTTGACTGATAATATTTGTTATGAAGATATAAACCAATATTGTTATACATAGTACAGTCAGCCCCCTCTATAGTCACCTCCTGTATAAGCACAGCCCTTTATAAGCACACTACATTTGGACCAAATATACTAATAAACTTATAAAAAAAGCTATTTTATAGTCACATAACTTTTTTATAATCACACCCGTTTTTTTTTGGTCCCGAGGGGTGTGACTATGGGGTCGACTGTATTCAAAAATGCAGCATTGTAAAATAGTTATATGTAATGCGTGCGAAATATTATAAATTTGGTCCTTTCAATTTATTAATATGTTTCTTCCAATAATTTTTTTTTTTTTTTGAAAAAAATGAATTTCACAAGAATTTGATTAATTTTATTTATATTTTGTTCAAATTTTTTTTTTTTTGGAATTTTTCTGAATTTTTTTTCAATTTTTTAACTTTTATTAGTAAATTATGTGGTTTTTTTTCCTCATCATGTTTGATGATTCTTTGGAACCAAAATTTCAATGAGTATTGACAATTTGAAGTAGTTGATTAATTAGACTCCTGCTTTTGAATTTCCTTTTCCTCCTTAGAATCAATATTATAAGTATTAACATCAGAAGTAGCTGATTCATTGGACTTTAATAATAAATTAGGATCTAAATTTAAATAATTTAAATAATTTTAAATTTTATAATTAATTACTTTAAATAAAAATTATTTACAATATTACCAGATGAATTTCCAGATTTAAGAGCCTCCAATAAATCATGCAATCCATGAAGAGTATGAATACATCGACTAATATAACATGATTGAGGATGTAACTTACTTGAATATAAAAATAATTCAAATAATTCTTGCTTTTGAGATTTTGATGTATTTTTTTGATTTTCATCAGCAATTTTAAGTTGACGCATATCATCATTATCTACTATATTATCGAAAAGTTTATCTGATATTTCACAAAATAAATCAGTTAATTCATCAATCGTTGGACGTTCAGAAGGATCATCATTCCAACATCGATACATTAGGTCTAAATACCATTCCGGAATCCAATTTAACATAAAATCAGGAACCTTTGGTCTTACGCCATTACATATATCAATCATCAAGTAAGTATCATGTGCTTGGTCAGCAAATGGTCGTTGTGCAGTAACTATTTCATACATAATTCCACCAAAACTATAAATATCACCCTCCCTTGTAAATTCATTTCCCCTTAATGCCTCGGGTGGAATATATGGAATTGATCCATAAATTTTGTTAATTTTGTCGTTAGAGTTTAAAATTAAATCATTATCTAATTGACATAACCCTAAATCTACTTTTAAGTCACAATTGAGAGGACCGAAAGTATAGTTATTGTTTATCAAAATATTTCCACTATGAAGGTCACAATGAATAAAATCTCTTGCATGTAAGCATTCAAGACCCCATGCTAATGATTCTAATATGTCTATTTTTGATTTCCACCCTAAATCCCAAAATTTTTTTATTAAAAAATTATGCAAGTCACCATCAAATAAATCCATAATAATAATGTAGTTTTGTGTAGAAGGATTTTTTGAAATTCCATAATATTTAGCAATTAATTCATAATTGTTAACGATCTTTATCTTAATATGAAAATGTTAAAAGACAAATTAATAAATTACAAATTATTAATAACTAATATTCTAAATATAAAGAACATACCACTTTAAAAAATTCAGCTATGTCATATCTAGGATCTTTTATTTCTTTCAAAGCAAATTGACGGTCAATCAAATCATATTCCCAATCATGTTCGATAGAATTCGAATACTCTTCTATGCCATTCTTTAATTTGGCAGAGTACACAGGTCCATGTACACCATCAGCTATATGTTTTACATCTTTAAAATCATCATAAGACATCCATCGTAGAGCGTGTAATTGAATAATCTTATCAATGTTATCATTTCCGCTAGACCAAGTTCTAAATAATTGAATAGAATTTTCTTTAATGCGTAAAAGTACAAATTCGATTGATTAAAACGAACTACTGTAAAATACTTAAAGAATGACTAGCTGTACCTTCTTCGAAACATAGGGAAAACAGAAAAAAACAAACTTTTTTTTTTTTGTTATTTATTGTGCCATGTAAATAATTAAATAAGATAGGCAATCATTGTTAACTATAACTACGGATATTCCTAATACGTACAATACCCAAATTATAAAAAAGTATATTGTTGAACAAGGGTTATGGATCAGGGGTTAGCTTAGTTATACAATTTAGAAATACGTACAGTGGGTGATCAAAAATCACCGGACAGTTGAAAATTTTTAAAAAAATTACTAAAATTAAAATGCTGATTCTAC